CTCATCACATTTGACAAAACCCCTCACGCCTCATGATAACTCACGCTGAAGCCCAGGCTACCTGGATCCATGGTAAATACCTCCTCTCTACTTTCCCTTCATCAAAAGTCCCAGCCTCCATCACTTTATCCTCACCACCTCACAGATGTGAGGCAAATGAAAACAAGTTCCTCCGGGTGGAAAAAAAGCTTTATGAGTTTCCCCACGGAAGAAGTGGATAGTATTATTGAGTGATTGCCAAGAAGACACCGAAACATCTATAACAATTGACAGTGCTCTTGGTATGTAGGACATTGTGGTCGTGTAGACTCTTCATTACAAATGCAGAAAATCCCAAGACCCTATTTTTCCAAACTCTGTGCATATGCACCACAAAATTGTTCTGCATGCAGACACCCATGTACCTGAGACATCTGGGTGTCCAGAGCTACCAGGCACCTAGCCTGTAACATACCTCCAACCCTAGCTATTACTCTAATAACCTAATACTTAACCTCCAAATTTGGAAGGTCTGAGAGGTGGCTGCTTTCCGTATGGAAGGAAGTTTATAGAAGTTTTCTCTTCTGAGCTAACCTTTGAATTATGCTTTTAAAATTATTTGAACTGGTGTTGATGGATTACATGTGTCCTAAATAATAGATGTGCTGATCAGTCTGTAGGGAGACTGAATCTCATGCACACAGCTTTGTATCACCCTTACCGGTAATACCTAACCAGTAACACTTAAGATTTCTCACGCTCATACCTTTTGCTATAAAAATGATTAAACTGCCATAGAGCTGAAATTGGAACTGAAATATAAGGCTGGATCACTTGCATAATAAACTTTGATTTAGCCATTAAAGAGATTATTGCTTCACTTCCACGTAGACAGAAAGGACAGGAATCATCCTCATCTAGTTCTGTGGGGTGTTGCCCTGTGGATGCATTTAGGTTTTATTTCTCCAATTTGATCACAAATAAATCAAATCACTCTTTTAGTTCTGAACATGGAAGTTCTTCTCATGAAGCACAAGGGACACATGAGCAAACAATCCTTTGGGGAAAAAGCATACTTAATTTCTATTTTCCAACCCCAGGTCTGGTCCCTTCCCTCTGAAGTCTCTTCATCTATGACATCTCTCCCTGACCCCAGAGGTCTTTTCTTCCCTTGGGAGGTGTTGCCAGCACCGTTGGCGTATTGCTTTTACACCAGGGCACCCTGGGGCATGTGCAGAGTCCCTCTGTGCTCCCTTATCAATGTCTGCCTCACCCTTGAGTACTATCCCACAGCGGCTCAGCCTGCAGCCTTTTGGCTGGGGTGGGTGCTAGCCTGTCAAAATGGCCCAGGTCCTGTTATGGAGGCCACCACATAAAGGGTCAGGCTCTTCAAAGGTGCCTGATGGCCCAGAAGGCACAGCTATCCCCCAGACTGAATGTATGAGTTGCTTCCAAGATGACTAAAGGGTTAATGTCCACCAAGAGTGGCAATTGTCCTAACGGCCTCACTCTTCTCCTCTGAACCCTTTCTGTCACACAGCTGTCACAGAGAGTTGTAAAATACACTGATGCCTACCTAAAGAGAAGCATCGTGCACAATTTTCTTCTTCCTACGCATTCTGTTTGCCAGGTAACACATGGCAGTTCCTGCATATGGGTGCTGGCTTGTCCTTGCCAGCTCAACGAGGCTGAGGTCCAGGCAACAGTGGGCCCTTCAGCAACAGCCTTGACAACCATGTTCTCCAATACAACTTACATTGGGATGTGGTGCTCATCCAGTGTGACACACTACACACAGACCCAGGCATTTGATATTGCCAGGACATCTGCGAATGGGAATTACTGTCCAAATTTTCCTTGGTCAGGAATTACTATTACTATGCTATGAGTGAAGTGTTGCAAGTGTTCCCAAGCACGACACAAATGGACATCTTACTTCCCAGTCTCCAAATTCTCCCAGGTGCCACTGGACAGACATAAAGCCCATCCATGTGCATATGGATAGATACACTCAAAACTTAATTTTTTCCTCCTGCTACGATATATGACAGTGAAGACACTATGGAAACAAATTCAGGAGGGGATAGGCATTAGAAACGCTTGAAATCTGCTTTCCAAATTAAGGTAAACTCCAAAGAGTACTTAATCTTCTTTTCTGTTTTTTGTTCTCCATACTATAAACCCTTCTTAAAACTCTGAACCATGGTGTGTTATTTTGACTCAAAGGAAAAAAGAAAATCCAGTTGATTTGTACTTTCAGGTTCTACTTTGAGATTCCAGTTTATCTTGATCATTAGTTTATAAATTGTGGTTTAAGGCATGTTTAGAGACTTCATTCCAATGAATTATTCTGAAAGGTTTTCTAGGGTGCAGACTTAAAAACAGCTAGAAAAGAAAATGGTATCTTTACATTTCTCCAGGCCCACGTATGGGACTCATTTCACTCCCTGACACCTGACATTGCAACTAAATCAGGAGGTGATTTCTACCCATAATTCCATTTATTTTAGTTGTATGTAGGTGGCTATTTTTTTAGAGTAAATTCCAAGGAGAAAAATAGAGGTGAATAGAGTTGTTTTTCTCACAAATAATACAGAGAACCACACAGCAAGACCACAGAAAATGTCTTCTCAGAGCTTGTAACTTTAGCAATGAAGTTTTGTTTAATAATATCAGGAGATTAATTAGCAGACATTAATCATGATCAGGCCCTATACCAGATCAGGGCCTACACGGAAGACCATCACTTTCCAAAGATGCCTATACTTTGCATCACTTTCAAAACAAAATGTGGTACAGAAAAACTTTAGAGGACAGTCTAAATCAGCTGTTGTTGTCCATCATGGAAACTGACTTCAGTATAATTGTAGGATTCATACAGTGCATTTCCAGATGCATGCATCCAGTATCACCTTTCCCCTATAAACAATATAACGGGAAGGTGGTGTGGAGGTGCCTGAACCTCTTAAAGAAAAAAGAATATCTGTTTCCATTTTAGGATGGGCTTTCCAATGTGCTCCAGTGGAGAAGCTTGCATGCTGAAATTTCACCATGCAGCACCACAAATTCCACATACACACCAACAAAAAGAACTCACACATCACTGATATATAGGCAAAAGCTGATCCTTAATGTTTAATGGAAAGGGAGATGCATATAATATGTTTTGGAGGTTCAGAAACTCTCAGACTACATGACACTACAGCACAAAGATTCTGACAGATCCTGAACTTGAAACTTTCACTGGAAAGCATGCATCATGTTCAAGTCACACAACTCTCACAATAATGTCTATGTATGAAAAAACTACAGCAGGTATGCCTAGTTTTTGGCTGATTCAAGAGCTGTGCGTAAACAAGACAAATTGCTTCTTAGTCTCCTTGAAACAGGTACTTCCCTTACGTTTTGTTTCAGTTGCAAAGAACACTAAGAAAAGCAAAAACTCATGTTAAGGTATTATTTTCTGCAGTCAGTTTCAGGGATTATTTTCTACCCATCATAAAAATTCTTCATTAGAGATCTTTGCCTCTGTCAGAGAGGAGGTAAGGGACTAAAGCAAATTTAATTGAAAATGGGAGAAAGGGAAAAAAGTTAACAGCATTTTTTAAATCTCAGGAACTTGACAGTGACATATATTCCTAACTCACATGCCTCTGAGAAGAGGTCATGCTGCCCAGAGTAAATAACAGTTTGTAATTTGCAACAAGGATACCCAGAAGCAACACTGTGAGATACATGTGATTATGTGATTTACAGGACTAGGAAATAATTTTTAGATACACTGTGGTGCATTAACAGTCCAGGTTAAGCATGTGCTGCAACTTTTTCCTTTAATATACAGTAGGTAAAAGATTTGTGATATCTTTAAATGCAACAAAAGGAAATACAGAAGGGGGAGGGAGGGGTCTCCTGCTGAGATGTTGTGATAAATTATTAAAACTTCTTTTTAATGTTGATGCTACTCTTTAACATCAGATCACAATCTCGACAACAGAGGAAAACTGAAAGTGCCATTAAAGCTATGATAAACACACCCATGCTGTGGCAACACTTGTAAGGGGGGGAAAAAAAAATAATCCTGGGGTGCCTCCAATCAGTAACATCAAGAAACAACCAGGGAGCAAATATCAAGCTATCTACAATCCACAGTCCCTCAGCCCAAATATTTATGAGATACCATTTATGCTCACTGAGCTATTTGATTACAAGACCTCAGTAACCTGTGTTTTCCATAAACAAATGTCATGCAAGGAAGCAAAACAAAGTGAACTTTATGAAAAGGCACATTTAGCAAACTGTTCACAGCACATATAGGGTAAATCTTCTCAGCAGTTTTTAACAGAGGAGGAAAATGGATTACTGCCTTCAAAAATCATAAGCGTTTTCTCAGCACAGCATTTTTTTTTTATAAAGTTAATGCAATTTATCTTTATTAACACATCAACACTGACATAGCCAGTCAGCCAATTAGTGCTGCTGGCAGTATATTTCACAACATTCATGTACTCTAAAAAAATATCTGTCTAGTCATTTTTACCACATACACTAACAATTGTGCACTCAAAATAGGCTGCTTGCTTGCTTTCTCTCTTCTTCCTTCCTCTTCTTTTCCAACACTATAAAACCCCATGACGGGGTTAACATCTCTTGCAATAAAGCCACAAGCATCTGTCCCAGAGTCTCCATAATGAACAATCTGAATTCTCACAGTCCAAAACCCCACTGGTTTCTAAACTATATACATTCATTTGTATAAAGGCCTTAAACGTTATTCTGCTAATGTTACAATTCAAACTAAAATTCCTGCAAGGACTATATGCCTTACAGAGTCAGTCAAGCAAACTAACAAGAAAACAAATCAAACTCCATGCTCTCTTTTCAGTATCCTATTGCAAGCCCACATGGCAACCTGAAATCTGAGTCACCCAAAACAGCATAGGTAGTCTCCTTAGATCACCTTTAATACAGCTTCTCAGAATCTTACCCAATCATCCATTACAAAACTTTTCCTTTCCACTTACCCCCCTTCCAGTGTTTGCCTTTGGTCCTGCTAAGCTTGCTCAGGGTTGGTCCAGAGAAGAGCAACATCAAAATGAAAAGAAGTTCAAGCATAGTAATTTTCCCCCGTTTCACTGATGATAACATTTCCACAAGTTATTGAAAAAAAAAAAAAAAAAAATCTTACATCTTCTCCCCCACTTTCTGTTTGCTTACGAAGGAGTGATTAATCATTGAAAAATCAGAGGAGTAGCTTTGCTCTCCTTAGATGTTGAACTAATATCTCAATGATGTAGCCCTGAGGAAAGCCACATTTCTCACTGATCCTGTTTCTCCCACACAACATGCAGCCGGCACCGCTGCTACTACAGTAGCTATAAAATAATTTCTGCTCCTCACTTTGGTTTCTGTGGGAATATATTCCTCAGCTTGCAGCGTGAGCTTGATTGAAAATGATAAAAACAGTAATGCTTGTGTCCAGCAGAAAAGAGAAAAGATGTCAGGATTGTGAAAAAAGATGAGAAGCAGTTGTACTGACAGCTTTAAGCCTGACTGTCTGATCCTAATAGCTGTGCAACCAACCAAATTGCTCTTTTAAGAGTAATAAGGCTTCAGTGAAAGCTGGTGTCACTGCCACTTGGGTAGGTAGTGCAGGGCTTGAAAATCACCAAGGAACCTGCTAGAGATAACGACTGCCACGGTCCCAGCTCCAAATGCAGAGGGCTGAGCAGAATACAGTATGCACAGGGAGCATTTAATCTCTATTGTGTGGAGGAGATTTTCTGCTTTACAGTGTGCAACTGCTCAGGACTTTTGGCTGCATTTTATTAAGGCTTTAGTTCAGACTTTAAACTAAAATGCAAGCTTCAACACACTAATGACATAGCATTTCTAAAGTAATTATTGTATGGGAAAAAAATCCTGCCTGCTTTTGCCTTTTTTTTTTTTTTTTTTTTTTCAAACAGGAACAACAAATCCTTAGCAGCAGCAGTAATCTTTTCACTGCACAGAGCAGCTATGCATTTTATATTTTCACACAGTCCATCCTTAGGATCTCCAAATCCAGGGGGCAGGGATAGGGGGTGGAGAGGGAAGAAGAACGAGGACTTTTAGAAGTACAGTTATTTTCAAGATAAGAGATTGTAGTCACAATTTTTCATTTAGTAGTTGTTACTGCCACAGAAATAATACAGCTACCTACATCTCCGGATGTCCATATTTAAGAATGCTGAAGCTGGATCAGTAAACATGAACCTTTCTGTGCAATGTTTTGGGTTTTCATAAAGGGTACTCAGAGAAAGCTTCACAGCATTCAGAGTGCTCAAACAGCCTTGGATGTTCAGTGCTTACTTAAGTATGCCCAGTAGCTTAAATTCATCTACAGTTTGGCATTTAGTTGTTTCCATATAAGCATTCAGTACTAAAATCAATGAGCCACAAACCTTGTGCTGTAGATTTAAATAAATAAAAAAATCAATGTCCTTAGAATGACAAAGCAACAAATGGTCACAAATTCCCTGAAGTTATCGCATTTTCAACCAGGGACATGATGCCCTTTTCAGTACAACATTAAGAAGATGATATTAATAATTCTGAAGATTTGCTTATTCGTCTGAATAAAGAATGATATTTTGACTGGCAGAGACAATCATGAACCTTGAATATATGTATAGGGAATTTTTTAAACAAACAGCATGTAACATCACAAACGAGGAAATATTGAGACTCCACCACCAACACATCAACTATGAAAGATCGTCTATTCTCTTTTCAAGTTCTAAAATATATTTATGGGCTGGTTAGAGGATGTAACATTTGCATTTAGAAAGAAAACAAATGCATACTGATGTACAGTAGATTTTCATCCCTCTGTGCATTAATTTTTAAAAGTTATAAGACATCTTACCAGATGCTGGGTCTGATATATCAAGGCTGATGTTTATGGCTCTTAGTTGCTAAAAATTAGGTCAGTATCTATCATGTAGAGTCACTAAGCTTCAGATTCTTATGTTAAATTTCTCTATCAAGCCATTTTTAATCACCAGTCTCATTGCTAACAATTAAAACACCATTTCTTATATTTCTCTCCTAATTTACCAAAATGAAGCAGACACTTGTGTTCATTTTGATTGCCTCTGTAACACTCCTCTGAAACGGTCACCATACTGCCATGTTGAAGCATCAAAAAATTTCCAAGTTTATATTGCTAGGTTTCCAACTTTTTATGTCCAGATAATAAAATGACAAAGTAAAACAGTCACCACCACAACCCTAGATACCACTATGCAAAGCCACTAACTTAAGAGTTTTGAATCAGAAAACAAACACCTCTAATGTCCAAAACATGTGTGATAATATCAGTCATGCTTCAGAAATCCTGACAGGATCATTCTCTTGGCCGTCTCTGCAGCCTTATGTCACTTCTGCCTCCTGCATATTTTCTTCAGTCTCTGTCTTCTTTTCAAATTCTATAATGCTCTGAAAGTTTGCCATCCTGTTTCTACCCCTACCCATGTGGAAGCCAGCTGCTTTGGGGAAATTTGTTTCCAATAGTGGCATGCATCCTTAAAAATACCTCCTTGGATCCTATACTGCAGAAGAATTGAACTTCTTCAGCCTGGACATCTTGTATTTTCAAACATTAATGAAAGCAGAGGCTATTGGAAGGTATTATGAGCTTCCGTCAGCTTTCTGCCAGCTTGGATATGTGCTTCCAGCAGCCTTAGGTACCACTCAAGCAGCAGCTCAAGTGATGTAGCAAGAGAAAGGAAGGACCACCTGATACAATAGCAAAAGGGAAACCATCACGGCTGCCGGTCATGGGTGTGTTTGGCTCAGTTTAAACACCTACAGAGCCCAGACTTCCACTATGCTGATGGTTTTCTGGGCTATTTTGCAAAAAGTAAGTTATTAAATCCACTTTGTATATATTAAGAGTAAGCAGGCAGACCTTCAGGGAAACACAGAAAAAGTGTTGTCACTTCTCATGAAATTTAGTGGGGGTTTTAACGTCCTCCTTTCTAGGTTCATAAGAATTTCAATTTTGCAGAGTTGAAATGCCTCCAGAGAAAAGATATGGCTTCAAGAAAGATTATACAAGTGTTATAGGTTGAAACATCAGAAAGACAAATAAAAGAAACTCAACATTTATTTTTCCTTCAAGTATCAGGATTTTTAAGTCAACATCATGTTTTAGAGATGTAAAAGAACTGATTTGTAATTCTATTTCATGCTTTGAATGTGCAATACTGGAAACAGAGAGAAAAATAAGCAGTCTCTTCTACCTTTATTCCTGTTGCTTTTACAAGAAAAATTCTTATGAGAGCTACAAGAGGCAAACCAATCCTATTACAGCTAAATGTCCCTGACATCCAGCCAGTCCTTGCCCAGAATCTCTTACACCCTCCAAGGTCCTTCACAACAGCTCACACCAGTCATGAGTATGAGACTATTTAATACTTTCTAAGCACAGAACAACTCATATATTGACAGACCAAAGACCTATCATGTCTAGCATCACATCTTCAGCAGTGGTCAACCTCAGATGCTTATGGGAAAAAGTACAAGAATGATAAGAAAGCATTAGTGGAGTTTACCATTTCCTCAGTCTGCCAGTCTCTGATTGTGAAAGCTTTGAGACTTCTTAACTAGAGACTATCACAGCTATCAAGTTAGCTTAGAGAGTGATGGACCTACACTTCTTGTCTTTATCTAGTTTCTTTTTTGATTAATTTATGCTTTTCTCCACACCCATAGTCCCTGGCAATGAGTTCCACAGATTTAATCACTTGCAGCCTGAAAAACATACTTTCCTGTTTCTTTGAAAAGCACATGATAATTCTATTGAGATAATTTTAGTTTCACATTATGGAAAAAAATATTCCTGTTCACCTTTCCTCATATCATGGTTTTCCAACATACCCTCCCTTCATACAGTTTATTCCAGTAAGAAAAGTTCTACCCTTGTCTTTTCTCAGACTGAAGATGTGTTCCATAATCACAAATGTACATCTTAAGTATAGCCCATTCTAATTTAGTGTTTATGAGATGAAGTCAAAAGAAAAAGTCTGCAGTATTTAACATGAATTATCAGTTGCATATTCTCTCCCCCATTGTGCTCATGAAGTCAAATGGCAGCAACTACCATTAAGCTGGAATTATGTTTATAAATGCCTACAACATTAATGGATACAGAGTTTCTTTTTAATTAACTGAATTTTAAGATATTTACTCAGTGGAAGCATACATCAGCAACCAAAATAAGAAACCACCAGTGAGATACACAGGAAGAAATACTTCCAAGTTAGCTTAACCTGTAGTTGTTGTGTCTGGTTATCTTGGTCACTCTCCTTTCCATATTTCCTTCTTTTAACTAATTATCTGGCACAAAGGACTACTGGTGTAAGTACTTGGTTAAAACCCTTGAGCTTGAATAAACAGCACCAATAACTTCACGGAAGCTTAAATATCAGAGCCCCTGAGCAATATGCTCTTTTAAGGGTGATATCTTGGAGCAATCTCCTGCTCACAGACTACAGGAGGAATAGACAGAAGCCTCAACTGCTTACTTGCTGACATGCTCTCTGGCCCATTGTATTTGCCATTTGCCATCCAGATGCCATTTCATTATGGCAAAGGCTATAGACTTTCACAAGATCCTTCAGTAACTGGACGAAGTAACATTTGGATCAAATCCAGCATTCAGTAACACAGGCGTTTTTCATGCTTGCATTTCCTGACGATTTTTAATTGTAGCATTGTCTTAACTTCTGGAGAAGCTCAGGAAGAATCACAGCCTTCACTCTTCCCATTTCAGAACACTGGACAATCAAAATAAAAAATTTAAAAGATAGCAGAAAGATAGCAGAAAAAGATAGAAATTACTGTTTAGAGAGTCACGATTAAGATGACAAGGAATGGAAACAGAAGCTGAAATGCCCACCCCCTTCCCTGAGAACAGCCAGCATTTGGCAGCATGAAAATGCCCATGACTAAATGAACTTTGCAAAAGGAATATAATCAACATTAAACACTATGATGGAAATATTGCATCCTGCACTGTAGGCATGAAGAATATTTTTCCACTGTCTACCTCCCCATAAACAGAAGCCCAAGTTGCCGTAAGCTATAATTAATTCAGTTCTTTTTAAGCATGAAAATTATTTTGATTTTAAATACTTCCAGTTTAGGGCATTCTAAATATCTGTGGAAGCCTCCTGGGGATTTCTGTTAGCCACAGACACCAATGGGAACAACATTTTTGGATACTTGTAATACAATACATTGCCAAATAAATACATAGCCTTCTTAAATCAAAAACCTATTTGAGATTCCTTCCAGTTCCTGTGATATCCAAGGATTAAGAAACTAGTGCTTGCCCAGTGTGCAAGCTGCATTTCTACGGCAGATATTTTGAAAAACCATTTATATTTCCTCTTCACAAGTATAACCAAATAAGATGAAGTTCTGACAGTCACTGCATGCCAGTCCCCAAATACTATGTTCATTTTGGCTTCCACAGTAATAGAGACCCACATATGGGTCTCTTTTTCCATCATAACTAATTAGTA